AAGATCTTCCCTCCTGCTTGAAGCTGCTCCCTCCTCTGCTTTTCCTCCTGGTTTCAGTTACACAATTACTGTTTAATGTGGATTCAGATATAAGCAACTGTGCTTGATTTTTCTTACTGCTGACAAACTGAGAGGGATGCCTGCCTGCTCTGTAGCAGGAGCCATATTATTTTCCTATATGTTAGCAATTACTTGCATTGTTTCCTGATCACAAGTCGTTCTCACAATCTGTAGCATGACTGGAGTTGATTATAGAGCCTGATGTGTTTAGATTTGAGGGGGTTCTATCAGGAACACTTTGCTTGCTGTTTTATGGAGAGGTGGGGAGAGTATGTTTATGTTCTGTCAAAATGATCCCGTCTCATTTCATAAAACAAAGGAGGGTTGAGCTTTCCTAGCAGTGGTAGGTCAGCAAGAAGAAAACAGAGCTTCAGGAATTGGCATTAATTCCTGGTGGTGCTCTGTGCTCGGAATTGATTGGCAAGGGGGAACTGCAGGGCATTGTGCTGTGTGGTAGAATGGGCAACAAAAAACAAGGAGAGCCTTGAATGCTCCTTGCCATGAAGAATTGCAGGACTTTGTGCAAGGTGACAGCCACCCTGATGTCATGGCCAAATTCCAGCGTGGGAACTGCAGTTGCAGTGGATGGGTCCATTGGAATCAGTGGGATTTGGCCGTTTCACTTCAGTGTAATCAGGCCTTCAAAATGTTGGCCTTTCAAGTCACAGCTCAGTTCAGTGGGATCAACTGCTGTTCTCACCCCACGGAATGTTCCTTGTGGAATTTATCACAAGCCAAACATTGCAAAAACACACTTGTGCTGGAGACCAATTTTTCTTACTCAGTTCCCTAATACATTTTTCAAGCATACTCACAGCAGTTCTCATTTCACATATGGGTCTTTTAGAAACAATTTATAATGTATGAAGGTGATCCTGAATTTTCCAAGGGCTTTCTGGTTGATTTGACCAAATAGGTACTTTTGTTCCTGCTGTTGTAATTTGTATTGTGGGAGTGTTCAGTAACAATCACCACTGATGTAGGTGCAGTGAAAACACAACATACAAAGAATCCTTGCCCAAAGAACCTGGTTTTATTCAGGCCAAAGGGAGAAATGAATACACATTGTGTTGTCTCATAGACTTTACTTGGTATATTAAAAAAAAAAAAAAGAGTTTTTCTCTGTCAGTAGTTTATGGTGTAAAACCCCTGTCCTAATTATATTCCTGATCCTTTGCCTAATCTGTCATGAATACAGCCAGTGCATTTCTGAAATAAGGGACTTAGTACCCTGGGCAATTTCCATGAGGAATCCCAGACAGCAAAATTCAAGTGCTTTCCAGCCAAGTCTCCTTGGCCCTTTGCCACTTGTGAGTGGCCCCATCTTAACCTCTAGACATCAGAGAAGTGTTTGAAAGTCATCAAATGGCTGATGAGTTAATCACTGGGAGGTTGTCTGCCAACATTAAGGAATCAGATGAGGGAAAGGCCAGAGAAAATCATTCCAGCAAGGTAAAAATAATGGAGAGTCCTTTTGCCATGAACGTAACATGCAAACAACGTGAAGTGTGAAGATACAATGGGTAGTTGGAAAGTTATTTCAAATAAGAGTTTTAAACATTCAGATCTTAAAATAAAATTGAGACAAAATTCTGCATTTACTTTATTGTGATACCAAAAGAGCAGAACCAGCTCAGGGAATCACAAAATCACGGAATGCTTTGGGGTGGAAGGGACTTTAAAGATCATCCAGTTCCAACCCTCCTTCCATGGGCAGGGACACCTTTCATTAGATCAGGTTACTCAGAGCCCCATCCAGCCTGGTCTTGGATGCCTCCAGGGATTGGGAATCCACAACCTCCCTGAGCAACCTGTGCCAGGGCCTCACCACCCTCCCAGCAAAGAATGTCTTCCTGATATCCAATCTAAACCTGGCCTCCTTCAGCTTAAGGCCCTTCCCCCTTGTCCTGTCGTTCCAGGTCCTTGTCCAAAGTCCCTCTCCAGCTGTGTTGGAGCCCATTTAGGCACTGGAAGGGGTTCTAAGGTCTCCCCAGAGCCTTCTCTTCTCCAGGCTGAACACTCCTAGCTCTCCCAACCTGTCTCCAGAGCAGAGGAGCTCCAGCACATGCTGGAAACCACACAGGAGTTTGCCCAGTCCTGCTTATGGGAGTCGTCACGTTACAGCCAAAGCTCTCCACAGAACTGCTGCACCTCCTAAAGCAGAAAGATGTCCAAGAGTGTGAACAGACTTTTCCCTGGACCTTGCTCAGACTGGAAACATTTTCAGTTACTATTAAAAAGCATCAAATTACAGACAACAATTTCAAACTCTTTAGGCAAGCAGAATAATTTGAATTTAAGGAACTGCTTAACTGGAATTTCACCCAGTCGTGACTGCCTTTTAAGATGGTTGGCAGCAAGTGCTCATGAGCAGGTTTCATATTTAACTGAGGTAGAATAAATATGCCTTTATTTCCAGCTGCTGTTTCAAAGGCTATGGAAATATGAGAAACAAATTGTTAATCTAGAATGACACCATTCTAGAGAGGTGAATTCTTTGCTCCTTCTGCTGAGGTTTGAGCTAAGCCGTGCTCAAATTAATTGATTAACTAATTCACTAACTTTACCTGGGCTTGGATCCTGTACTTAAAATCTTAGTTAATTGAAAAAAAAGTGACCAGAATTCCAGGATACAGCCAGGGATTTGTAGGAAATGCAACATAGAGTAAATACTGTAAGAGCAGTTTGTTCCTGCAGTGTAATTATGTTCTGTTTCACATTGTTGTTTTATGGGGAAAACATATATTTGCAAGTCAGGAAACAAGTGGGCAGTCTGAAGGTGATTTCAAACAGAGAGTGTTTTGACATGGATTGATTTATTTCAATTCCAGTTTTGCTTATTTAGCCAGTCGTGATTAAAAGCAGTGGTTCCATACATTCAAAAAATGTAGGAATGTGAATGCCAGACAGAAACTGCCCCTGTGGTTTACCATTATAACACCTTTTGACTGCAAATTCCTTGAGATGCAGGAGAGCAGGAACCACTATTTGGGGTGTAAACAGACATCACAAGGCAGTTGTCTGTTATCAAACAACTATTTTTATTTGATATAAATGATTGAGTCCTGTTTCTCATTATAATACCAGTGGGAAAAGCTCGACTTCAGATGTCTTTGTGCTTAAATTTCTGATCTGAAGAGCAAAGATGATGCTTTTCCAACTCCACTGGAAGTGTATCAGAGAGGAAATCCTGGTGAGGGTGCTGCAAGATATAATAATTATGGGGTATGTTTCTACCCCACAAGTAGAGTTTAGTCACTGTTCTCCCTGTCTCAAAATCAGTGTTGGGAGGTGTGTCCTCATTCCCAGGACTGCTTATACCTATGAAGGCCTGCCAGACACAGGGAGCCTTTGAAACCTTACATCATGAGGGCCTGATTCATACCCCTCCCGATCCCAGGGAAAATTCCTGGTGGCACCATCAGGCTTTGGCACGTGGCCCAAGTCTTGGTAACTTCCTTATATCTCCCTGGTACACAGAGGATGCTCCTCAGCTGTACCAAGGCAGATGACAACATAAATCTCATCCATGACCATCTTGTGTGAGTCATTTTTCCAAAGGTAAATAAATCCTCCCTGTTTCCTCACACCACCTGGCGAAGCATTAACTGAAAAACTGAGAAAATGTTGTTGTGTCTGGGAGCCAACTTCAATCCCTCTGCAAATCTTTATTTTTAATTTCTTGTTAGAAAACAGAACCGACTGGAACTGGCTGGCAGAGAAAATGTGCCCCATTTTTTTCCCGGTAATGTAACTGCCAGTTTCTGTTTTCGCCTCTGTAGAATTATGTGCCTCTATTTGAAAGTTTTGACAAATCAGTCTATTTTCATTCTCCCTCTGCCATAAATTCAATCCATATGTCTTTCAAACATCCTTTCATAGCTTTGGCATGGAAAAGGAAGTGGCTTAGGCTCTGTATAACGTATTTAAAGCAAGCGCTCTTCTAGTTTGGATGCATCACTTCTGGTAGCTCTTAAAGCCTCAACTTCCTAATTATTCAGGTTAAGAGGGCATTGGCAGAGTGTTCTCCATTAACTAACAGTGATGTACAGTGAAGAAGCACAACAGGATAAATCATTCCCTTATTCTCATAATGTCCAGGAAGTTTTTGATGCAGCCCTTGGCTTTACCACCAAGCAGGATGCGAAGAGGATGTGAAAAGGGTAGGAGAGATCAATGCAGCATAAAATCTCAAAAGAAAACATCAAGACAAAGAAACAAAAGGTCTTGTACAATGTGCTGCTGTTCCTCTGGTAGGGTTTTGTTGAACAAGAATACACAGCACCAATGAGACAGGAGGTCACTGCCACAGGAGCAAAGTATCTCCACATCTGAGACTGACCCGGGGTCGGGAGGTGAAAGGGTGGAAGGAAATGTGGGTCCAAGCTGAAATGGATTGGTATGGCTGTGCATGGATCAAAGTTAAAAAGCAAAAATACAGGATGCAGCAGGGTAAGAGCACAGGCAGTCGTGGCTGTTAGCATCCTTGTCTGAAATCATGGAAAAGTTGGGCTGGGGGTGCTACTGCAATTGCAGGATGGATCTGTAATTAAAAATGTAGTAGCAGTCAAACACAGCTGAAGGTGTGGCAGTAGCAAGGGCACAGGGACACTGGCTGAGTGCCTGCAGGCAGCTTTTTGGAGTCCACCCGCCCTGTGGATGCAGTGTCATGCTGGGTTTCATCTGATCCACCCCAGAGTCACTGTCCCACCCCAGCCTCCGTCACATACCCAGCTCCCTGTCTCACACCAGCTCCAGAGGTCACATTCCCCCTTCCCTGTGCCATGTGGAACAATCTTGTGGCCAAAAGGCAACGAATTTCAGCTGGCTAATTTGAAGAGAAACTATTCAACTAATTGATTTCTGGGAGGAAAGCAGGGAAGGCATGTTTTTTTTGATCTTTATGTTGCACTGACTTGCCTTGTGGTTGCAGATCTGCCATGGTCAGCCAAGATAATGGTGAGAAAGGTGACTTGGGGAAGGTGAATGGGTGCCCCTGTTAGAGACTGCCTGCATCTTAATGTGTGGGTTCTTTGTAGCATCCCCTTCGCTGCCATTCCAGCCAATTTACCCAAAAGGTCTCTAATCTGCCAGTAATGCACATGACTTGTAGGAGTATGCACAAAGTAGGATGGGATCCCAACAACAACTAACAAAACTGGCAGCAAATCCGTCAATGACTGCATAGTGATGCATGCAAGAAGAGGAGATGGAAGGAGTGTGCATGTGGTAAATGCATGTGTGCAATGTAATTATCTTTCTAATCTCTCTGTCTCTCGCACAGGGGTCATTTATAGAGATGAAAATATAACCTCAAAACTCGTGGGCGTTGCTTGGCTTATCCAGAGCTTTGCACATGTAGAAACCACATTTGAAACTGCAGTGGCAGGTTCAAAGGGCTGGCACAGCCCATGGTTTTGTTTGCAGGGTTGCAGAGATTTCAGCTACCTGAGGTGGACTCGAGGCTATTCCACATCTCTCCAGATCAGGCCCTTGTATCCCACAATCTGCATACAGCTGTTCCCCAGCGAGCTGTGTGTGCGGCAGAGCTGTTGTGTAAACAAGAGTGGAGACTTCACCAAAGCTATTCATGTAGTTTTATCTCAACTGCAATTTGTTCTGAGCTTTCAAAGGCTGAAGAAACATCCAGCTTCACTCCCCAGGGCCCAGTTCCCCTGTTTCAACCATTCCAAGGGTATTTATGGCACAGTTTGATTTTCTTTGAACTGGTCAAAAGACCTCAAGTCCCCCAAGAAAGGTACTGAGTTCTCCTAGGGGGACTTGCTTTTGCACACCTGTAGCTTCACTTCTAACAGGTCTGTTGTCTGCTCTTGCCCCAGGTGTGCTGTCCCTGCCTGCCTATTTCAGCCCCTACAACGACGGCTCGGTGTGCAGCGACGGACGGGCCGACGCGTACGCCCAGCTGGAACTCCGGACCCTGGAGCAGTCCCTGCTGGCAACGTGTGTTGGAAGCATCTCTGAACTGAGTAAGTTTTGGCTGCAATCAACCACAGGTTTCTTTCAGCAAAGCAGGAGAGCCAGTCCCTCCTCTGAGGTCAGTGGGAGCGTTGCCATTGTTGACAGCGCAAGCAGCATTTGGCTGACGTTGGGGAAGATTTAATTGTCTCGTGGTGCTGTTTATGAAAATCAGCTTGTTTCATTAGTCTGCTTTATATTTAATTCACCTGGAGATATACAAGATGTGGCTTTTCTAGCCTTTTGGTAGTGGTGTTGGTGCCAACTGAAGATGGATGCTCTTGCCTAGATGCCTATGGAGGATTTCTTGCACATTTGTGAAGCACCTCCCTCAGATGGCAGAGAGGGTTCTCTTTGTTAGTGTTTCTGCAGTGGAAATGTCAAGGGTGCATGATATTTAGGGAAAAGCTTTTTGGTTACTTAAAAAACAAAAAGTGGAGGAAAAAAAATCGGAGAGCACTTGGGTAACAAAAACTTGTTCAAACCCTCCTTTTTTTCGTGCTAAGCAAATGAAATGTTCCATTCCTAGAGTACTCACAAAGCCCCTTTAAAATAAACAAAAATGATTTGTGTTTTCCTGGTCCTACTTTTCCCTTGCAAAGTTTCTGCTGGCATCACTTTCTTAGTCTGCACCACCATCTGAATGCTAATGAATGTCAGGGCCAGCAAGGAGTTTGTGGGTTTCACCATTTATTTTGCAACCTGCCTTAATTTGAGGTTTTCAAATTCCTTTAACACACCTCTATTTATCCTGGAACACAAGAGAACATTTGTAGCAAGGGCCTGAGATTGAATACAGCTTCCTCTCTCCCTCTCTTCCCCCATCCCTGCCTTGGCCAACTTGGTCAGTACATCCAGTGAATAGATCTCCTGATACAGTTGCCTAATTTTTTTTTCTTTCTTTTAAATGTTGCTGCACATTGCCAGAAAAATAGAGTGAGTGTGCAAAGGAGAAGGAACGTTATTCTGAGCTGAATATTTGAATTCCAGATGCATTTCTGCTATAACTGCACAGACTTCTGTGTTAGCACCAGTGCTGGAGGATTCATGATATTCTCATAAAATGTGCAGATCCTGGAGCTACTGGAGTGGAAAGGCAGAGTTGTTAGAAGGTTTTTTTAATTCTGAAGTGGGTCCTTAAGCTGAACATACTGTACAACAAACGAGTGGCACAGCTTTAGATTGCAAAGTGAGATTTTTAATACTCCATTGATAATGTCATGTTTAGACATAGAGTAGCTTTGGGGGGGTTTCTCCTGTGTAACAGCAGAAGCCCAGGGGTTCAACCAGAGTTTGGTTGGCAAATTGGTGTATTGCTGTTAGATATTAATGAACAAATAACAACTTCCTAAGGATTTCAGAGGGAGGTGTTACTAATTCACAGCTAAACTCAGGGCGCCTTTTCAGCAACCAGCTTTGTGATGGGGCGACTATTTCAGTTCCATCCTTTCCCAGTATTGTGATTTTTGGACACAATAGAGTAACGTTTCCTGTTTTAGGGGACCGTAAAACATAAAGCAATAGAGGATTCTCCCAAGGAAAAAATAGATCCTAGCTAAGTATAGTAATCTATAGTAATAATTCAGCTCCCTGTAGTCACACTGCTCCAAGATGTAATGTCTGAAGCTTTTAAAAGGTTTTTTAGATTTTGTAGTGTACCAGAATATGAGGAGAGTAACCAGGGTGTGCATAAAGCAAGGTTATTACACAAAGAGCAGATTTGGGGTCATTGCTTTGTGAACTTTTTAAAAATCTGCAGTCTTAAAATCCTTTCTGAGTGAAACTGTGTAATACAGGTCACCTTCTTCCAGGCCTCCTCAGGTCCACCATGCTCCAGCATAGAGGCAGGTTGGCTCGAGTTCAAAGACCAAGAGGATTGAGAAGCCCAGAAAGTTCCTGGATTAAGCTTCTCACAAGGCTCAGGAGCAAATTTCTGGCACAGCTTGTGACAAGCAGCATGATAAAGATTGGCTTTTTAATACGAGAGTCAGGTCTTGTTATTCTGGAGAAACCTGCAGCTACAGTAAGAATAAGAGCAGCAGATCCCTAAAAGAAGGAATTTCTGTATTGAACATAATGTCATTAGTTTGTCTCAAGTTCCTGGGCAGGAGGGTAGAACAGCATGACCCAGTTGGAAGAGATGGGAGCAACCTCATAACAGAAATGAGAGTAAAGTATTTGTATTGGTGCTGATGGCTTTGCCTTGTGAAAGCTGTTGCTGCCAGGTTGGGCAGAGGACATTTTACAAAGACATCAGTAGTTTTTGTAGGCAGGCAAGAAACTGGTGTATGTGGGTGGAAAGAGGGGAAAACCAGCACTAAACTAGAAAACTCGGTGTAAAGCTGTTGTTCTGAATGTGTGGGGACTGAGTTTCATTTAATGTTTTCTAAGTAACAACTTGTCATTTGAAAGCAAGTTAAATTTCCCACGCAACAACCTGCAGAGTGGCAGCCTGAGGACAGGCCTTTGTGGAGGAAAATTGTGTGCACACAGAAATTTCTCTTAGCTGAGAGAGGTGTTATTTAGGTCAAAAAGTGCACTTAAAAGGACTTTATTTCTCTCTCTGCGCAGGTGATTTGGTCTCACGAGCGATGCACCACATGCAGTGCTTGAACACCATCCGCCCCGGGATGAGCCCCGTGCGGCAAACCCGGCAGCAGCAGCCCATCTCCTGGTCCCCTGATGCTCTCCACACCCTCTACTACTTCCTACGCTGTCCCCAGATGGAGTCCATGGAGAACCCCAACCTCGACCCTCCACGGATGACCCTGAGCAATGAGCGGTACGCAAATCAGTCAGCTCGCTCTCGGTAGTTGTGGAATTAGGCTGAGAAGGGGTTTTGCCCTTTTTTAGGTTTTTACCCTCCTGTAGGGTAACTGTGTGGGCAACTTTGTGGGATGCTACCTATCAGGCATCAGTTATTCCTGCAGTCACAGGCCAGGTTGTGTGGCCAAGTTTACGAAGCCTTGGAATTGGAACTGGAAAGTGAGCTGTTTTTTCATGCAGTCTTTCCGAGCGAGGCACATGCTGTGTGCTGCCAACAGGGCTTGTCTGGAGACCTTGCCAAAAGTACATGTGGTTGCCTGAAGCAGTAAAGACCTTACCAAAGAAAATGTTACCTTCTGAATGGCGCCAATTAACAATTGTCATCGTTCTGGGGAAAAGCCACGTTTGCCGTGGAGGGGGTTGGAGGGATTTATGAACATCCTTCTAAAGGGTTACTTCAGTTGATGCCCTGTGTCTGGTGCAGAAAGGAATTTGGATAGGAAGCCAATAACTAAACAGAGAATGCAGTGGGTCTCCCTGCCTCCTGCCAGCACCGTAACTGACTCTGAAAGTAGGCCCATTATTAGAGTGGTCAGAAGTTTTCCAGAGGGACGTTTTTTCTGTTGGAAACCTCCCTGGTTTCCTTCCTGCCCAGCTCCTTGGCAGTCTGCCTGACAGGCTGGTGGCAGAGGAGAGCTGAGGAGCTCTCACAGCCCTGGCCACAAGCTGAGTTCCTTGACAGGTCAGGCAGCTCCTGCTCCCCAGTTGCATTCTGCAGGAAGACCCAGGCTGTTACAGGCTCAGTTCCCCATTTCCAAGTGCATATCCAAGTTCCTATTTATTTCAGAAATCTTAAATGGGAAATTGTGGTTCCTCATTATCCATTAGTTATGCTAGCTTGCTCTTTGGATGTCCTTTAGCCTGCTGGACATGGGGTTGAGGGAAGGCTGTATCCTGCCCCTTCCCAAAGCAAAGTGGGTAGGAAGTTCCATGGTGTATTGAGGTATGGGAGCCTGGGAGGGGAGGCCACACTCACAAAACAAAAAAAGCAAGGTGCTTATTGGACAGGAAGGGAAAACATCCTGCAGCTTTGGAAATAACATGGTTTCTTCTTCCCATCTTGGGCTTCACTGTGCTCAGCCCCAGCTTCTAAAATTACTGTGAAATCATAGTAGCACACAAATAATTAATTACAAAGGTAAAAAAAAAAGTCTTTTTCTTTGATCCTCCCCTAAAATCTTTTCAAAAGGAGCAAGACTACACAGAGAAAGGGAACTGATGTACACATATGAAGAATCAAGAGGAATTAAGTGAAGTTGAATAAAACAGGAATAGAAAGAGGCAGCTGCATAACTCAGAACCCATTGGGAGCTCAGTTTTTTGGGCTTACTTGCTTTAGTCAAATGTCCTACCTAGTGCAAGATTGTTTATTGTGCATGGTTGCACTCTGTGTAAAAAAATTACTTTCTATGAGACCAGATTGTCTAAAGTTGTACCACTGTATTGTGGTACACCAGTTTACAGGTACAACAATTGTACAGCTGAAGCTGCTGAACAGTTTGTACCAGAAGTATAGATTAGGCTTTCTATTTTGTGTCCTTTTCAGTACTCTCAGTGGGATGATGTTACTGCAGCTACTTGTTTTGTACGCTGAGGACAATAAATGAGTTAAATCAGGAGTGCAGTTATCTCTCCAATTGCTCCCAAACAATGCTCTTCACATGGTTCACCGGAGTTTTTTTGGAATGTGGGCTGCAACTCTATTCTGTTTTAAAATCCTCACTAGATCCTGTGACAGCTGGTGTAAGGGAAATTTTTGCCATTTTTTTACTGACCAGTACTTAGCTGTAAAGGAAATTAAAGAGGATATATTAAAATGGAGCAAAAAAAAAAAATTAGGGGGAAAAAAAAAACAACCAGAAGTGAACACTATCAGATTAAAGGACTGGTTTTGAGAAGTTTATGAAAGCTGGGAATGAAATTAATATTGCTTGGTACACCAGAATTGAACATCCAACCCTACTTTTAATTTGATCCAAGGTGGATTCATCTGTGTCTTAATGTGTTGAGCTCTGGGCAAGTTATTTATATAAATATTATTATTATTATTAGATAAATATTGCTGGCAGCACTTTGCAGAGGAGGTGGTTTACTCATTCCTGGCTGAAGAGGAGGGACAGTGGAGGCTGCGTGAGAGATGCTGGGCTCATGGCATTGGGGATGAGGGCACTGATTCACCTAATGTGACTTGGCAAGGCTGGGCAGCCTTTTATTCTTTCCTGAGCTGTGCTAAATCAGCTGCAAACTCGGCATTGCTCTTTTGTGGGTTTGTGCTGGCTCTCTGGAATATCCTTGTTCTGTGCACAGCAATCCCAGTTTGTTTCCTGCTGGAAAAATCTGTCACAGACCAGGACAGTAACACTGAGCTGTTCTGTGTTTGCTTGTGCTTCAGTTTCCTGTATAAATATATAAATCTATTGAACATTGATGTGAAATTTAGCGAAGAGAGGGATGGCTGTTAGAGCTGCAAACTTGGTAGAACCTTGTTTTGGGAAAATCCACGAGCCACATTGATTCAGTGGAAGGAACTGCAGTTGTTCATCCAGAGACCTGACAATCTGCTGTTTATTTTGGCTTTCTGCTGTCTGTGAGCTCTCTGTGTTTCACACTGTGATGGAAAGTGCTGTGAAAATCATAACACTGAAAGGTCTGGAAGGTCTTCAACATGAAGGCAAGCACAGAATTCAGCTCTGAAACCACACCTAATAGGGGCTGTCACGTGCCATAAAGGACTTTAAAAATCTTGCTGAGCTTCTGAATATATCCTGCAGCAAAGTTCATAAGGTATGAAAACAGACACACTGCAGAAAGGTATTTAAGGCACCCCAGTGAACAAAACCAGTTTAAAGTGGGGTTTATCCATGTTAAACACCTTGGCAGAAGACCTGAGGTGAGAAAGCTGGGGAGTCCTGCAGCAGTAGGGTAGGTGGAGCTATCTCTAGTTCAGCAGAGAGAGGAGCTCTCTGTTTCAGCCTCCAGTATGTGAATGGTTTGGGATCTCATTACACTGAAACTCTGGAAAGTTTGTTGTGATGTTGGTTCTGATACCTCCAGATGAAGGTGTTGAAGCAGGAGGAGGAGAGGAGGCAGAATTAGAGACAAAGGACTCAGGTATCTTAAGCAAAACTTTAAACATTTCCAAAGTGAATGCAGCTGTATAACCGAGCCATGGCCCACTTAGAACCCCAGAATGACCTTATTTGCTGGAGGGACAATAAACCATCTGCTATTTGATGTCAGATGGGCCACCTGAGGAAGCGTTTTGCAAACACAGAGTGCCACTTGTGCAATATTTTGGCAAAAGAATTAGACCCTGAGGTGAGCACGAGCTGCTTTGCTCAGTGAGGATACACCTGGGTGCCTGAAGGCTCAGAGCTTTTTGGTGTCATCAGAGCACACCTGTCTGTGCTGCTGCAAAAAAAGTGGGTCTGCTGGGCTGTAAGATATTTTGCTTTTCTCTGAAATCTTAGTCTGTGTTGTGTCAGGGGTCAAACAATGTGTTTTTGGAGCACAAGGAGCAAGCAGACACGTGGCACTCCTCTCTCTGCTCTGTTCCTGCTCTGGGATTTTTCCCATTGCTTATGTCAGGCTGGCTGAGCTTGGGAGGACTCCACAGCCTGAGATCATGTTTACTGGGATTGTTTGAGATACTGCGACTTGACAAGAGCCATTCAAAGGTAAACGAAGTTTCTTTCTCCTTTTTCACTTTTCCCAAGTGGAACATAAAGCTTTTGTTTTATTTTTAATGGTGTGTCAAGGCAAGAATGCTCTCACAGTGATGCTTATCTTGGGGAGTATTTGTCTGCTCCCATAGAGCCCAGATCCAGGTCAATATTATGGTTTCATTTTACAGCTGGGTGGACTTGTCTGCCCCGGGTAAATTGACTTGGCCAGGATAGTGGTCCAGCCTTAAAGCTGGGAATGGACACCACTGACTGTCCTCATCTTGTCTCTTTTTGGTTATCATGTGCCTACAGCATTTATTGTAGGAAAGTCAGCATGATCTAATACCCAAGAACAGGCAAAAAAGTTGGATCTTGCTTCCTTGTGTAGCTGATTATCCTCCCCTTCCAGCTACCCCTTTAAAAAACTCTGAATTGTGTTTTTCTATTGTTGGTCTGTAGAACATTCTAAAACTAATTCCAGGCTTGTCCATCAGTGCTTGTGGATCCAGCCATGTCAGGCCTTTCCCGACTATCCATGTGGCAGCTGTGCCAAGTTCTACATGTTGTCTGAGTTTGCTGGGGCATTATTTTATTCCAAACATCAGTGAGTACAAAACAATTTGCATCAGCAGAAGCACACAGACTGTACCCATCTGACTCTGTCAGTGAAAATCCAGTAAAACACTAGGGAAATTCCAGAGCTGATGGAGGATTTGTCAGCTGCCAACAACAGTAAAATTTGAGGCTTGCCAATTTGATGGAAATTCTCAGCTCTTCAGCTGGAAAAGCCGTGGACACTGCAAGAAACCAACTGCAGTCACACAGGGGCCACCTCGTGCTGTTTGCAGGCTCCAGATTTGCTGCTTTTTTGGAGAAGTCTGTTTTGTGATGTGACTGTAAACAAACCTGGGCTCACTCAGTTTCTTCCTTGCCACAGATAATCCTTCAGGAAGGCTGCTGCTTATCCTGCTTTTAGCTGGAAGGCTGCTGCTCATCCTGCTTTCAGCTCAATGCCTGCTGTTACCTACAAGCTTGAAAAATGACCTAAATTTTTTTCTACTTCCAATAGGAGTCTTCCCATTACATCTGTTACCTCACATGATCCTTGGATAAACATGCAAATCATATTTTTCAGTAGAGTCAAGCAGGAAAAATGGACTTGTGCCTCCTCCTCCTCTGTGCCACGTTAACTGGGCAAGAGGAGGAAGGAGCTGAACCCATCTACTTGGGTTTTCTCTCTGTGGAGTATTTCCAGCAGTGTCAACCCTGAAACATTATTTATTGGGAAAGG